GAGCTTGTCGGCGACAACGTCGAGGAAGACCTCCGGGCAGTAATATTTGTTCTTTTTGGAGGAGCATTGCTTGGAGCGAACGGCGAGGAGCCGCATTTTGATAAGGTCGGCTCGGTCACGGAGGAACACGCTCTCACGGCCTGTGTTTTGTTAGATGTGTTACCTGATTAATATGTAGGATAAGATCGACATACCTCGGGCCAACAAGGCGGAGCTGAATCCACCAGCACCGCCAGCGCCGTCTCCTTCCAGGAAGACCTCGCCCTTTCGCACCTTGTCGACGAAGGACATGACGTCCTTGAGTTTGCGCCGTCCAATGGAGTCTTCAAGGCGTTTGAAAGCTGTCTCGCACGCTCTGAGTTCCTCCTTGAGGACTTTGCTGACATTTTCCCTTCCCTTGGCCCATTCCGGGTCCTCGACTTCAATCTCGAACTTGAATGGCTTGATGCAGTTTTCAACTTGATCGCTAGTGCTGAAGAACCGATCGTTCAAGATACTATTGCACGCATCAACGATCTGCTTTTGAGCGTATGGATGTGTGGCAAAAGTAGAGTTGGCGATCAAGCGATCGACATGAGTTTGAATTGCGTTGGCGACAACTGTGGTGGCAAGTCGACCAATTCCCAGCTTCGTCAGGGAAGATGTCGAAGCATCGAGCTTGCGGTGCCAGTACAGTGACTCCGGGTCAGCTTTGGCAAGGTCACTGAGCGGATCCAGCTCTGGTAGCGGAGCGGACAGATCGTCTATCGGCTTATTCCAATACCTCTGCGCCAGGATGTCCATTACCCGCTGGTCAAGCTCATTCTTCAGCATTTCGCGGACCTGAGGGCGGCCGAAGCTTTCAGCAAACGCCTTGAACGAGTGCTTGAAGCTGTCCAAGCTCTCCGCAAGATAAGACTCTGCACTCAGAGGACGATCGTTGTATTGAACCTTAAACTCATAGGTTGCCTCCTCAAGCTCCTGACTGATTGCATCCCTAGTACCCGCTAGGCTTGATGCCATCGTCTGCTCGAGAACATGCATGAGCTTTGTGCGCAAAGTCGAAACACCGACAGAAACATCCGATTGCGAGCCGAACTCCGACGGGTGAGCAGAGAAATATGCGTGTTCATTCTTCATGATGGCTCCGGTGATATTTCCGCTGCCTCTGGAGAAAAGTGCTGTTGTTTGGGGAATGCGGCTGACAACACCAACATAGCCCAGGCGAAGAGGGTACTTCTTATCGGAGAGAACGTTGTAGCCGCGTTCGGGATCAACAAGGTCCATCTTCGTTATAACTCCAATCGTCCTCTCACCTCTGGGATCTACCCTGCGGCTGGCTCTAAGAGCAGTGGAGTTGGCCAGATCAACATCGGCCGCGGAAATGGCGAGAATAACATTCGGTGCTTGGATGTACTTGTCGCAGAGATCGGAGATTTTCTGTTTCAACTCAGGGGGTTGGTCATGTCCAGCGACTTGGATGTAGCCCGGAAGGTCGATGAGAGAGAGGTCAGGAACGTGGGGAGAGTAAATAGAGAGCTGAATAGGGTCATCGGAAACACAGTCCCTCTCCGGAACGGCCAAGTTCAAATCCGTCAAAGTCCGCTGAATCTGAGAAAAGTCGGTGATCTTCCCTAACCCAAGAGCCGGGAACTCTCCATATTCAGCTTGCGCATTCGGTGTGTTGACCAGAGTCAGCTCGATCGGCCGCCGGGTAACCATGTTCGTGCCTTTCGGAAGAAATTCATGTCCGACAATAGCTTCGAGAACCGAGCTCTTGCCCGAAGACTGAGACCCGATAACCACAATTGACGGGAGCGTCAGGGTATTCGACTGGCCGACGGTCTGAAGGATGTTCCTGATCTCGATCATCTTCCGTGTAAGAAGCATCATCTGGTCATCCTCCGCAATCTTTCTTTCTGACCGAGCGTCCTCCTCATTAGACTCATCGTAACCGAAAGCTCCAGCAGTAGTAGCACCAGCGGCCGCGGCACCGAGACGACTCTCCTTCGGGCGTTTGCCTCCAGGGCCACCATTATCGGACTGAGGTTCTTCGTTCGGACTTATGATACTCTGCAACCATTCCGGAAGTTCCACGGCTTCCGTCGTTCTTTGCCATCCGCGTTGTGTCTGTTCGGCAATGCCCTGAATCTCCGTGAACAAGCTCGAAGCTGCATCTCCCGCTGTTTCCCCCGCACGTTTGAAAAGATCGATAGCATAATTTCCTGCCTCTGAACGACGCACACATTCATTAATCATCTATTAGCAAAGACAGACAGAGAATCGAGCACGTACGTGTAGCTTGGTACTGGAAATAAGCTAGCCCCGCTACCGTAGCACCCCCAAGCATAGCCGGCAGCCGTACCAGCTTGATGGCGAGCTTAGGGAGTATCCGGTGAAAGGAGATTGCCCGCACAGCAGGCACATTATTGTGAATTGCATTCGCACCTACCGGCCAGGCCCGGCCACGTAGTGCGGCGCTGCCATCGGAGCGAAGAAGACCGCCGGTCCTGGCGGCAGCATTATGAACATGGCGGGCCAGAAGACCGGTCCGCAACAGCGGAACAAGACGATGGGAGAGGATTCTCCCGCTCATGGTTCCTGAAATCACATACACATCAAGAAAGTCGGAAGAAGGCTAGTTAGGCATTTCCGAGGCGCAAAGCCACGGGGTGGTAGTTAGTAACTTCGGGATGGTGAGGTAGTAAGTAGCTTGCGGGAGGGAAGGAAAGCGAGAAGGAGGCGGCGGAGATGATCAACCAAACCACAAAATAATAATAATGCAGTCAGTCATTCGATAATCCGCGGCTTTCCCGCCGCGGGTCTCGTGACCTGCGCCCGATGGCCGCTTCGTTGGCCGTATCGGGACCGGTGTGAGTCACGTGTGGAGAATGTCGCCATTTCGATAGATCCAGATAACAACTATTTTCCGTAGGTCTGAGTTATTTCAGCTTCTTTTAAGAGAGTCTAGAGTTCTGCAGGCTATTTGGACGCAGAATTTATATATCTTAGGCTGGGTCCTGTGTTGCCCAATCCATATTGAACATTCAGCTGCGCCGTTGTCGGATCGAATTGTGACTGGAGACTGGAGCTGCGCCCTGAAGCAACTACTACTAGTTTTAGCGTCTTCAGCTGAAACGGGCTTTGCTGTCTACAGACACTCTTAAAAGAAAAAGGTGTCCCCAGGAAAAGACCTCTGGACTGTATCTCCCTGCCAAACTATACTCTCTGTATATTCGCCGAATATGTGTCGTCTCCTGGTATGTAAGCTCCGTTCTGACCCCATCCACGTCATACAGTCAGCCAGCCTGAACTGACCGCTTGTCGCCAGGTATACAAAGGCAGGCATGAGATTCGTCTCAGCAAGCTAGTCACGGAGCCAAGCCATTCCATCCTCACTCAGTCCTATGATTCCCGTTTAAGACTAGTAAGTGTATCCAATGCAGTGCCCAAGTAACGGACCACTGCTACCTACCCCCTATCCCAGACCAAAGCCCAATATTAACCCCCATATACAGGACAACCGCCGCCCCGTCAACGGCGATGGCTTCGGCGTGGGCTTCTACACCGACCCCAAACTAGGTCCAGAGCCATGCATTTTCACATCAACTCTCCCAGCGTGGAACTGCGAGAACCTCGAGCGGCTCGCATCTAAGACATGCTCGAATCTAATCTTCGCGCACGTGCGCGCAACCACAGAGGGCACCCTCTCCGACACGAACTGCCACCCATTCCAGCACAGCACGCTGATGTGGATGCACAACGGCAACGTCGGCGGCTGGCAGTACATCAAGCGGCCGTTGGCCGACTCGCTCGCGGACAAATGGTTCCTGGGCGTCAAGGGCGGGACAGATAGCGAGTGGGCATTCGCGCTGTTCCTCGACCTTCTCGAGAAAGAAGGTGTGGATCCTAGCTCTGATCCCGGCCCCGGAGGGTTCGGACAGGCGCTGTTGCGTCGGGTGATGGTGAAGACGATTGCCAAGATCAATGAGTTCATTCGTGATATTCCCAAAAGACATAATGTCTCGAATGTGGAGACGCGCAGTTTGTTGAATTTTGCTGTTACGGATGGTCAGACTGTCATCTGTACGAGGTATATCAGTAGTAAGACGGATGAGCCGGCTAGTTTGTACTTTTCGTCCGGGACGAAGTGGGTGGAGGGGAAGGATAAGGGACATTTTAAGATGGAGAGGCATGATAAGGGGGCTGATATTGTGCTTGTGGCTAGTGAGCCGATTACTTTTGAGAGACGTGAGTGCTTGCTTCATCTAAATTTTTTCCGACGGAAAAGGGGATATTTGCTAACTGATTTGCTCTAGATAATTGGGTCTCCGTCCCTGCCAACTCCATCGTCACCATCCACAAGCAAACCGTCCTGCTACATCCCATCATGGATGAGTTCTACGTTGAGGATACGAACCAGGACCGCTCATCCTGCTACGCCGTGTCCAAGGGTCTTGTTAGCACAGCCCCTGGGACAACCGTGCAGCCCCGTGAAGCCGGGACTGTCGATACCAACCCCGGAGCTATCCATGGCAATGGCTCTGCGCTGGATTCGCAGCAAATCAACCTCGCCAACAAGTGCGCTTTATCACATTGATAGATTGGGTCAACTCTTGTCAATTGAGCGTGTGCGACAGTGTTAGACATGGGGAGTTACGGGCTTGGAGTTGGGCATTTGGGTTTTGTTTCTCTATTTCGGGCCACATTGTTGAATATCTTTTGTAATTGATTTACTATACTACTCATTCAGCTTATTCTTTCATCTGTATGCAATACTATTATTAGTACGGTTAGGTTGCTTACAACCCAACCGGTGAACTAGTATGAAACATTGTCGATATCGAGACTCAAACTCCATCCCGACCCGCTAAACCATATATACACAGAAATGAAACTCAAATGGGAAAGGGGGTAAAACAAGAAAGAAAAAGAAGGAAGAGATGCGACCTGCATCTCCTCCACCACCGAGGCCATGCGAAGCAAGAAGATTCGTTGAAAACACAAGAAGGAAAAAGAGATCATATATCCTCCCCGGATATATTAGCATGCTTGAAATACTTCATCCCCACCCAGGCAACAACCACCCAAACCCACGACATAACGGCCGTCAACACAATCAACGCAGGATAATATCCCACAATAGGCAAGGTAGGGTCGTCTTCCAGCTCTGGAGGAGCATATGGCGTCTCTCCAACGTCCCACGCCCAGCTCCAAACACCGAAGCAACTTCCCATTCCAACCACAAATACCAGCCACGTCACAATCAGTATTATCCACCCCCACCATTCTGTCTCCGAATAGTCCCATACCATCTCTGAGGTGCTGACAATATCGGCGGAGTGGGTTGCGAGGGGTGATTTGGCGCGGTGAAGTGGTCGATAGGCCGTCGAGTCGGCTTGTAAGGCATAGTATGAGTCGGAGCTGGACGAAGCGGTTGGGAGGTGGAGGCCGGTGCTGGTGGTTGCGGCGGCCGCGGCCGCGGCAGCAGCAGCGGCGATAGCGCTGTTTGAAGTATTGGGGTGAGGGAAGGGTATGATGTCTTCGTCGTCGGTAGTCATCTCGTCGCCGAGAATGCTTTCTTTGGACTGGTTTTGCTGGCGATGCGAGGGAGCGGCTGCATTTCGGGTTCGCTGGGGTGCGTCCATAAGGGTCCACGTAGAAGTATTTCCTCCATGGTCTGGATGACCTGAACTGCTTTGCTGGAGAACGGTATCATTATCGGGAGAGGTTGGATCGGCGAAAGCGCGTAATTGAGAATCGGAAGGAGGGAGAGGGGACGATGATGATCCTCCTGGTAGGGATGGTTGTCCGTTGGGGTTGATATCGTCTCCACGCAGCACGTCCACCGATGGCCTAGGAAGTTTCTTATCTCGATATTCGAACCGGGTGCCCAACAAGGCGGTCTTTCGTAGGGAGCCCCTTCTCCTGCGCGTTCTTCGGTGTTGTTGGATCGCAGTCGACATTGCCCTTCCACCTCGCAAGCCCGAGCTGAAATCGCTGCTGTCGTCTCGCTCGATGCCCGAATGGCTCCGATCCGGGGCGTTCTGAGTCGCTTGGATCATTCGCAGAAAGGAGAGGCGCGAAAGTAATGAGCCGGACGAGCTGCGCTTGTGGCCGCTGCTTGCGCTCCCGGAGCGCACCCGCCTCGAGAGCTGATCATTGTTGTCCAGCGAGAGTGCCGCACCTTTGCCGTCGCTTGCATCTTCCATTGGCGCAAGCTGGGCGCGACTAGCTGGCGGTTAGCACGCCCACATCCAAAACCGGGTTAAGGAAAGTCGTCGGGGCTTCTCATGAGCAGCAGCCAGGTCGGAGACGTGGTGAAGGGGGGGAAAGGATAAGCAAGTGGTGGGTGGGCATCCGCGGCCAAGAAAGGGTCCAGGCGGTCACTCGAGAAATTCCCGGTCCCATTCTCCACCTCCCAACTCTATAAGGAGAGAGAATTTATCCGCAGCCACGGAGCGGCTGTGTTGGTATTAATAGAAAATGGATGGGTCTCGACTTTGGCACGGCAGATAGCAAAACAGAAAAAGTGCTATCATACTGATCCCCGTCTCTAGCATTAGCTACTTCTACTGAAATGATGGAGGATTTCTGTTTTACTTCAATAGTGGCCATGCACGAATATCCTGGTATAGGGCATCCAAGAGTGAGCCTCCTGGGTTTCACAAAACAAAATAGGTATAATATCCGAAACGCCAATAGCAGGGTGTGATCAAGGAGATTAAAAGATCACGCTCAGAATATCTGGTATCATAAAGACGAGGCTCAGGTACGGGGGAAAAGCGTGAAAAACCGCCAAACATCACACATTAATCGATAAGAGATCAATATTCATTTGTCAAGAATTGGCCAAAGAAACGGAAGGAACATGGCTTCTCGATCATTGGAATGAAAGAAAGAGCGCGCACAGCCTTTGAGCATCAGGGCTCCTGTGCGCAGGCAGAAACAGATATAGAGCTCTTTGGCAAGCCACTCATACATACTAAACGAAATACGATACAAACTGGGAGAGGCGATAATTTGGACAATAGACCAAAGACAGGGCTCGAGAATGGCACGATAACATAAAATACTTTTGGTTTATTCCGCAGAACGCTTGAACGGGAAGCCCAAGAAGCTTAGCCTTTGATCAAAGTCACGCACATTCGTTCAAAGAAAAGAGCATATGAAAAGTTTGACTCAACAAAGCGGATTTGGGGTATTGGGTGTACGATAACACACAAATTTCATTTCAAAAGGAAGAGTTTGAGAATGGGAGATGCGCTTAGAAATCCACTTAGTCGGGGCTGTCATAAAGAGAAGGAAGTGAAAATAAGGAAAGGAAGAGAGAACAGCGGGTGAGAAGATTAAAAAAGGGGTGGAAGGTAGAAAAAAGAACACTTCCGTTTGTCGCTGTTGCGGCTGCCAGCAGCGATACCACATTGTCCGTGCTGGCTGGCGTGCAGTCTCGAGGATCGTAGATCAACGGCTACGCTTGGTAGCCGCCGAAACCGTTTCCAAAGTTGGCGTTGTTGGGCTGGTTCCAGCCGGAAGTAGGCGTGGCTTGACCACGGCCGTAGCCAGCATTACCAGGGACCTGGCCATAACCTTGGCCTGCCATTCCGGACTGGTCCCATCCTCTTTGGGTCGGAGTAGGGCCTGTCATTAACCACATTAGTGAAAAGGCGAAGGAGTTTGGGAGGAGACGTGAGTTTACCTTGGGGGGTCATGGGAGCGCCCGGACCGCCGTACTGGGGGAAGTACGGGGTTGGGGTGGAACTAAATCCCGAGTTGCTCTGCTGACCAGAGAAGTTGTCGAACTGGCCGGTAGGAGGACGGTCCTTGCCCCACTGTGACGGTTAGGAGGGAACCCTGTTAGAAGAAACATGGGGAATGCTGAAAACATACACTGCACTTGAGGGGACGGCCATTGACGTTGTAGCCGTTCAGCTGGCAGATGGCCATGGCGGCATTCTCATGCGTGTCCATCTTGATAAAGGCGAATCCACGGTCGGCCTGCAGACGAGTCTCGATGACATAGCCGAAGTTCTGGAAGAGTGGGACGAGATCGGTCTGCGTGGTGTAAGGGGTCAAGTTACCCACATAGCACGTGGTCTGCCACTGTGGGGTTTGCTGGACGACCATGTCGTAGCTCTGGATGCCGTGGGTAGGGAAATGGTGATGACCGAAAGCCGTGGTCGGCGTCATGCCCATGGCGGCCATGGCCTGCTGCTGGGAAATGGAAGGCTGACCCTTCTGGTTGGCCCAGTTGCAACGAATAGCGCGGGAACCGAGCCATTCCCCGTCCATAGAACTCAGAGCCTTGTCGGCGTCAGAGCGTTCGCGGAAAGCAACAAAACCGTAGCCACGGGACCGGCCAGTCTTCATATCCCACATAACACGAGCCTCGGATACTGAGCCAAAGGCAGAGAAAGCCTGGAGAAGCACTTCATCGTTGACTTCGTTGCTCAGATCTCCGACGAAAATGTGGAAGTGGTTGGAGGTATCCTCCTTGTTTGTGCTGTTAGACTGGTAGGCCCAGTTCACACGAATTTCCTGCAGAGATCGTCAGAAGCAGTCCGATATTATGCATATGTACGTGGGCTTGCATACCGACTGGTGGATGCGACGTCCGTTGAGCGTCTGCATGGCCCTCTCGGCGGCGCCCGGGTCGTCGAATTCGACAAAGCCGTAGTTGTATCCCTTACTGTTGAACTTCTGTAACAATTAGCATGAGGAGGGGAGTCATGCAAGATAAGAGGTGCTCGACAGCAGCTCCAGCAGTAAGAGTAAAGCTTACGTTCTTATCCGGAATGATCTTGACACTGACGACATGGCCAGTCGTCTCGAAGATTTGCTTCAGAATATCCTCAGTCACCCGAGGGTCAAGGCCACCGACATACAAAGCCCTCTTGTTTGGTTCAGGGGCAGCACGGCGTACGAAACCACCGGCGCTGGTCGGGGACATCATGTTTCCGGACATGGGAGAGGTAATGGCGGTCGGGATGGGGTTGGTGTTCTGAGGAATCACCACAGGCGGGCGGGGAGGCGGCGGCATGTGGGAAGGATTAGCTTGACCATTGCCCTGAGACGCATCGTACTGCTGGTTGGGAGCAGCAGCAGAGGTTTGGGGGGGAGGAGGGAGGGTCGAAGAGGTGGAAGCGGTAACGTTGTCGGCCATTGTTGAGAGAGGTCACGAGATGCAAATTTACAGAAGAACCGACCGAGTCAAACGAGCACAAAATGCAAGATGGAAAGGACGACGAAGGCGTTTGACGAGACAGCGGTAGGATGAGATGCAATCTTTGATGACGGGACGATGCAGGCGTTACGCAGTCAGAATTAGAGTAGGCGAAGGCGGAAAACGACGCGGGGATCGAAACACCCAGGTCAAGATGGAAACTGGCAAAAGCGCTAAACTAGATCATACAATGGGGACCACGATACGGGCGGTAGCTAGAGCGGACGATCGCCGTCAAGAAAATGACGCTGGAATGCTTCGAGAGGATGGAGAAGATTGCACGAGGAGGTGCTGAAGTAGCGGACGACTCAAAACACAACGGGTGGTGTTGATTCTCAACCAGCCCCAACAAGTGAGCGAGGTGGCAGCAGTAACAGCAGAGCTTCAGATTCGGGCAACCGAAGCCGGGACGGAGGTGTGTTTGAGGCAAACGCAACGGTGGAACAAGAAGATGGAGGGAAAAGAAAAAGAGCAAAGATGAAAGAAAAGGGAAAGAAAAAAAACAAAGGGAAGAGAAAACAGATGCACACGGGCTCACGAGCTCGACAAACACCTGAAGATGAGGGATGGGGATGGAGAGAGGAATGGAGGGAAGAAGAAGGAAATGGGGAAAGGATGGAAACAGGGGAAAGAAAAGCTGCGATGATCTGACTTGACGGGAAGTTTGACTGGAGAGCAGAACGAGGAGTTTGGATGGTCAAGAGCCGCTCCGGGTGGGGGGCACGCTAGCCCCTCTTGCGTTAGTCTTCCCTTGACGGGCCTCGTCTTTGTCCAAGCAAAGGCGCTTATTCTCCATCATTTGCTTCTTCCTTCTCCTCCTCCTCTTCCTCTTTCCCTCTGCTCCTCCCCCCCCCTCTCCCTCCCTCCCGCCTGATCTGTTCACCTGCCCTCACGTTGGACAAGCTCCTGTCGCGTCCTTGCTATTTTTGTGTCCCTTGGCTTCGGCACTGTTTGCGCGACTTCCCTGCGCTTCTTGCAATTCCCCCCCTCATAACGACTCTTCTGCTCCAATTGGTTTTCAGGTACTGCCGTCAAAGAACCCGGCACCCGTCCTCACGGACCTTCTGAAACCGACCATTCACATTTAACCGCACATTACTGGTTCTTATCGCTCTTTGATACTGCTGGTTAAGGTCTTTTCTTTCTAAACTTCAGCATCAACCACGACCGACTAGACCGCCGACAGGCCAAATCAGCCGCTTGTCTGTCATCATATTACTATAGCCATGGCCGCAACAAATTTCTCCAATCCGGACTCTCTTGATGTTCTGACGTCAATGGTTAACCAAACGGTACTCCTTCATCCTAGTAACCCCCTTGCAGTGCTAAAGGCCATTTTCTAACTCCCAGTAGCTCATAGAGACCGGCCGCTTTTTCAAGACTGGCGGGTCCATGCAGTCCAGGGCCCAACTCAAGCGTTCAATCCCCACTGCTCACGAGAAGTTTCAGAGTGCTCTCGACAGTTTATCTGAGCAGATAGTAAGCTAGCAGCAGCTTCGAGATTTTGTAATGCGTACTCACCGTCGACAGTTTATTGCCAAAGCTTTCCTTGAACGAGATTACGAGGCAGTGCAAGCAAAGAAAGCTGCTCTTCAGCCCGCTGAGGATGTTGTTATGAATGAATCGAACGTGAAAGTTGAACCAGAGGCGGCACCACAGCCTTCTGAACAACCAGTGACCGACGCAGACACCGTCCAGCCTAAGGCCGAGCCAGTTGACGACGCTCTCGCTCCGAAGCCCCAGGTCGACGCAAATGCTAGTCAGCCAAGCGATCAACCCGTCAAAGCTGAGAAGCCCGAGGAAGATGCCGCTGATGTGCCTGCAGCACAACCCGTTTCTGCGCCAGGCGATTTCAACTTCGATTCCATGCTAGCCGATAATTCTGGGACCAACGCCTTCGACCTGAACCTGGACTTTGGCGATGATGGCGTGGGAAATGACAGTTTTCTGTCAGGCTCTAATCTAGCCAATGCCGCCAGCAATACCAACAATGGCAATGGGGGAGAAACCAACCAGCCAAGCAATGCTCCAACAACCTTGCCTGGTACCGAGAACCCCCCCGCTCCCGCACAGATGGGAGGGGATGCATTTGATCTTGAGCTACAAAAAGCGGAAGCATTCACTAACCCGGGGGGTAGCTCGGGCGAGCAGACGTTTGATGGACAAGGTGGCAGTAACATGGAAGATGTCATGGCACCAGGAGAATCTAGCTTCGACGATCTGTTTATGGAGAACGATACTTTCGGGGGAGAAGGAGCTGGAGACGCTAGCTTACTAGATGGGGACGGGTTGGTTAACATCAATGACCTGGATGACAGCTGGTTCACTTGATGGTCCGCGCATCAACGTTGCTCGAGATATGGATCAGCTACCTTCGCACGGATAGACAACAGGCAAACAGCAATATGCTAGTCGGGCGATAACATTTCAAGTAATATGACGAATGTCTGGAACTAACATCATTAGTCAAGATGACTGCTTCCTTCTACAATGCAACTTCGGTGTCATCTTCAACCACCGACCAGATACACTTCTAGAATGGTCAGGTAATCAATCTGACACCTCGCCGGAGGGAACATTCTCAGTTCTGCAATTACCGAGCCGCCAATCGGCAAATCAGACGATCCACCCTGTAAGGGGGTTGGGGATCGGTACCTACCAGGCAACGGAATGACGCAAGGCACTCCGAAAGTGGAGGAATGTACGGACCGGGGCACGGCGGAGCTTATCTCAGTCGGCAAACTGACGTGAAGGCACTCAACTTTAAGCCCGATTAGCTCTTCTGTGTGAAGTGTTGGTCCGGCTTGGCTTCAGTGCAGCTAAGCTGTTTCCTGCTAGTTCGGCCTCGGGATAACTACTGACTGGGTCCTACAAGGAAGTTCAGTTCCAAAAGTTTGGTATGGCGATGATGCTTGTTACACACAGATAGTATGAAGTTAGTGTGTGGTCCGACGTCAGCCTCCAAATGCCATGAAGTAACTGGCCACTTTACTGAGATTTTCAGAACAGAAGATAACGATCTACAATATGATGCTGCCTATGGGTAAACAGTAGTCCCTGCGTACAAGTAAACAAACGGGGAGTGTGCTGAAGTCAATGTAAAGTCAAGGTTACCCTGCGATGATGTCATCCATGTGATAATGGACTTTGTGTGGAGAACATCATGGGAAGCCGGTGTTGATGATCGAGATCGTCTCCAGACTGTCAAGCGAGTGGTAAGCTGAGGGCCCGGAAGGTTCCTCGCTGACTAAGAGCAGGTGAAATTGTCCGGATTAACTATCCAATGACTCATAGTAAACTCGATGTATCTACGGTGTGGACTGACAGGTCGATTGAAGCCATCGAAGCCTTCAGAAATTTGTACGGTATGCCTGCACCCTGATAAGGCCTAGACGATTGACTACTCTACCTGGAACAATAGATATTGCAAGGCATTGAACCGGACAATACTCGGACCTACAGGTGGTGGCGGCGGCGGCGACCACAAACGAGTGTGACGGCAAAGGCGACTGTGGAACCGTTCCCGAAATCAGGCCATGGATCTAGAATTTAACTTCTGCATCCATTCTTCAAGTCGGAATGAGAGGTCGGGAATGGTTTTGGCGACCCGACGGAAGCCTGAAGGGAAAGCTGTTCTTGATAATTGTATTGACCTGAGAGGCGAAATGCAGAGGGGAGAAAATGAATTTACCCATAATTCCCCAGAGCAAGCAAGGCAAGACAGACCAGACCAGGTCAGCCGGGAAAGGCACACCAAGCCTCAAACTACTCAGAGATTAGTCAAAATCCTTCCCGTCGCGCCCCGATGATATCACCAGCACGGCCAAGAATCCCCGCATTGACAACGAAACGCGGCAGCCTCGCAGGAAGCTTTGGGATGTCACGAACTGTGTCCCGGTGGATCTGACCGCCTCATATCCCGGTCTTTTTACTGGGGTTTGATTCCGACTCGACTCTGGAGATGGAGGGGGGGGTGTGTGTGTGTATGTATGTATGAAGTCAAGGGGACAACTGGCTATCAACCTGATGATGATCCTGAGCGAAAAAGATAGGCGACATAATCTTATGACCAAACTTGCTTTGGTCTCTTTCTCTCTCTCTCTCTCTCTCTCCAGGCTGTGCCGGAATACCCGCCTCTAAAGCCTCAGAGTGCGTGAAATTCGGCCCCCGGGCCCAGCAGATCAGACGTCACTCCTCTCAAGTCATGGCCGAGGCCTGGGCCCCCTCTTTCGACGCTAACGATTCAGCTAGTAAAGGGACAAAGTACCGTTCGAAGATATCTTTAGTCTAGGGTGTTCTTTTCCCTCGTACCTGAGGACACGAACCGCACCACTGCCCCGTCATCTATCTATCACATGGAAAAGATGGGGGCGAAAGGGCTAGAGAGAGTAGAGAGACATAACCACACCATCAGTCGAGGCTATGCTGAATATTGAGAAATCTCCAGTAGCAAACATTTTGCTAGGATTCGGTCCACAACATCGTAAATCAATATCGGGTCCGACGGACTGACGAAGCGGGTTTGAGGCCAGACCTTCCATAGTAGATAATCAGAGTTGGAATAGCTCGAGTAGTTTACCAACGTTGGTGGTCCCCTTCGATGGCGCCCATGTTCGTGCGGCAAGTCTGACCGCGGGTGGAAAAAGATTCAAGGACAGTTTGGTCCCAAGTGGTTCAACGAGGAGAATCGCATTCAATTGGAGACTTGTCGAAGGCAACTTGCGGATCACCGGATATGACTGAACCTACCGACTTTCCCCCTCCATCCGCGTCATCGTCTCGCTCTCTTTTCTCTCTCTTGTTCTTCCTCCAAGCCTGGTTCAAGTAGTAGTCGCTTTCCCTTCCTTTCCCCCCGCCTTGTCTTTGCATTTAAGTATCTTGTGCCCAAGGAACTATATCCGCACCGCCTCATTCTTGTCCGTGTCTGTGTTGTCATTGATGTCAATGCTGCCCTTTCGCATGACTTTCCCCCCAGTCGATGATTGACTCTTCGATACTTACTTGCTCCTAACTCGCCCTACCTGGTGGTAATCCCTCCAGACACATCCCATCCCAACCCCATTTGGGTCGTCGGTGTTTTTGGCTTTCCCCCCGCATCATCGACCAATCTGGCCTGCGTGACGCTACTGAAAACGGTGATCCCTTCCTTCGCGTTGAACGCTTGAATTACTAGGGACTTTACCTTTTGCTGCGCCGCGGTGGACGTGCTGCTCCTTGCGCCGTCGATCATCTCCCAAACTCAGAAAACATCCCAATCCGAAAAGAGGCAAAGCAAAGAAAAAAAATTTACAATAAAAATTGATTGAAATAAAAAAATTGATCTAAGGGAAAAAGGAAAAAAACACTACGAAATTAAGGACAGGGAACTGTGACTCCGTCCCAAGGAAAATTCCACTGGTCGCACGACTCGCTGCAGCTGGGACTGTGCGTAAGATTCAACCTGAATCTGAATATACTTCTCCACGCCCAGTCGTCTTCTCTCTTGACTCCATTTCGGTAAGTCGTCGATTCATCCCCAAAACGTGCTTGCTTCTTTGCTGCTTTATTTTTTTGTATTTTTCCTTTTCCTTTCCTTTTACCCTTTGACCCTGCTGCATTCCTTTCTTCCCTTTCTCTTTTTTTATTCCTCTCTCTCTTCTCCTTTCTCCTATCTTCCTTTGTTACTCTACTTCTTCTACCTTGCGTCTCCCTTGGTGACATCCCTCGCAATATTGGTGTAATCTCTCCCCTCTATACATCAGCAATCAGCATACTAGTACATCCATCTTGGGTGCCTCACCTGCGCCTCTCTATATCCGTCTTACCCGTGGTTGAAATTCAGCCTATCCGGACATCCCGCAGTCATCTTTTTGTCTTTCTTCCTTTTCTTCTGTTTCACCTTAGGGTCTTCGTTGCGTCTGGCAAATAATGCTCTTCGATTGGTGCTTTACACGATGACGACTCACATCTCCCATCTAGAACAGGATTTATCCGGTTCCGTGACCACTACAACTAGTACGGTCTCCCACCTTTCTTGTGGCACCCCCGATTCTGTGCCCATCTTCCACAGTCTCCTGAGGTTTCGCTCCGATCATCGTCGGTCTCTAGAAACTTCCAGTGTAGTTGGCGACACTGTTGCGGTCGAACAAGTTCCACGGCCAGGCCATCGGCGGCGCGCGTCCATACTTAGCAAACTGGCGGGTCCGCGGGAAAACGCAAAGCGATTCCTCCGCCTGGGGACTCCTATCCACCCGACTACTACGCTGACGCCACCCACTCCCACTCCCTCAATGCCCGAAACACATCGCCCTCGCCCCGTGTCTGAGATTCTTTTGTCCCCCGATGATGCACAAATGCTTGCCAGCACAGGTTTGAGGACGGGCAGGCTGCGCTCCCACTCTTCGTCGACCGTGTCGGCGTCCCAGCCTTCCCCGATTTCGGCTCAACCGGCAATCCCGGCGGCGGATCCATCGGTGCCGTTTCCCACTCTGCGCAATGAGAAGATCGTGGCGACCGGCAGTGGCATAACGGTTGGTGTTGCGCTCACCGAACCCGTCCTGTTTCTTCAGGGTTATGATCAGAACGATCCCAGCACCAAAAAGTCCGCCATCCTGCGCGGGCAGCTGCATCTCAAAATTACCAAGAGTGTCAAAGTCAAGAAGATCTCTATTTGTTTCCGCGGACATGCCCAGACCGATTGGCCAGATGGTATGTTACATCCCATTGTCCTTACCCCAGGTGGCGTCACCACTAACTCATTGTCTTCTGTAGGGATTCCGCCCAAGAAAGTCCACTTTCACGACAAGAAAGACCTCGTCACACATGGCGTCATGTACTTTAACCATGGAGATACTGCGCTGATGCAAAATGACTACGGCGCGCACTTCTACCAGCACGCCAAACCGGTGACGTCGGTGACGGGCAAGGATGGGCCGACCACCAGCACCCGGGAGTTGCTCTCCAAGACCGGCTCGGTGACCTCGTTGGGCCAGAACGGCCAACTGACAACCAAGGATTTGAAGCGACTGTCCTTGCAATCCAACCATTCGCGCAGTCTGAGCAAGAATGACGCCCCGCCGCCCCCGGCTCACACTCAGCGCAACTACCGGTTGTTCCCCGTCGGTGATTATCTGTATAGCTTCGAGTTTCCCATCGATGGCTCTCTCCCCGAGACGATCAAGACCGATCTGGGGTCTGTTCGCTATGATATCGAAGCGATTGTGGAACGGGCGGGTGCGTTTCGCCCCAATCTGCTGGGTACGTTGGAAGTGCCGGTCATCCGCACGCCAGCAGAGGGCTCGTTGGAGCAGGTCGAGCCGATCGCCATTTCGCGAAACTGGGAAGACCAGCTGCATTATGACATTGTCATCTCGGGAAAGTCATTTCCTCTTGGATCGCAGGTTCCCATCGCGTTCAAGTTGACGCCGTTGGCGAAGGTTGAGTGCCACCGGATCAAGGTGTATGTGACTGAGAACATTCAGCACTGGACTGCGGACAAGAGCGTCCATCGGTTTCAACCAGCAAAGAAGGTGCTGCTTTTTGAGAAGAGGGCGGACTCAGCCAGTACCAGCACCTACCCGGGAAGCTCAATGCGAGTGACGGCCGGTGGCGGCATCGACTGGGACCGTCGCGCGGCTGCTGCGAGGGGCGAGGAGATTGTCGATCGGAACCGGACCAACCTCCTTGGTAATCTCTCCAGCGACGCGGGGGTTGGCCCGACTGAGATGGAGTTCAATGTTCAGCTTCCCAGTTGCCAGGAGATGCGCAACCGGGATGAATCCCAGCGACTGCACTTTGACACCACGTATGAGAACATTCAAATCAACCACTGGATCAAGGTATGTTCCACACAACACCTTGTAGGATTCGCTCGATACTAACTTTATTAGATTGTACTGCGGCTGTCCAAGGTTGACGAACGAGATTCGGGCAAGCGAAGACACTTTGAAATCTCGATCGACTCTCCTTTCCACCTGCTTTCCTGCAAGGCTACCCAAGCGAATATCTACCTACCCGCATACACCTCACCCGACTCGGAGCCGCCGCCGCAGGCTCAGGAGTATGAATGTGGCTGTCCGGGGGCGCCGCCGGTCAACAGGAATGGTTCTCGGAACGGCTCCAGCCGGCAGTCACTGTCTTCTGACCGGGACGAGGTGTCCCTCGGCGGCGCAGTTGCGAGAAGCTTCACTAATGGTTCCGGTGGGCTGGCTCGACCTCCCCAGGCGCATTTGGCGGATGAGCCAACCGATCGACACCCTGCGCCCCGGCCGATGCATCTTCTGCGGGCGCCATCATTTGCACCGCCCGCCTTCGAAGATGTCCCGCCACCACCACCACTCGTGACGCCTCCCCCGGAGTATAACTCCATCGTTGGGGACAACGACCGAGAATCGGTTCTGCAGGACTACTTCTCACGGCTATCCTTTTACGAGGAACATGCCGATGATGATCGGGGCCGCGGCCGAGTTGATGTGCCTCTCACGCCAGGGGGGCGCGTGAACCGCAGCATGGACGTCCCACGGGAGTGGGTACGTCTGGAGGAGTCGGCCGTCTAACCGACGAGCCGCATTTACGACGCTATGAGGATTGTACTTTTGTTTTAGAGGACGGAGGGAGTTTGTGATATAACCGGCGTTTGATCCTTTCGGGGCAACGTAGGCTGGCTCCCTGTCTGATTTATTTGGACTTGATTGGAAATGGCGCCTGAGGAACCGGGATGTATTTGTGGCATTGTTTGAGCGATCTTACTCGTTCCTCATACTATATACATATTGTTTATATTATTATGTCTAGATACCAGCTGTAGCAGATACAGCAGATGCATGGATTGAGTTATACGTACTGAATAGTGGTATCCCCTTGCCTCCAGTATGGTTCAATAAACCGTAACCATATACTAGTATCTAAAGCATGAACCTAATGATGAAGCAGCGGTGAAAGGTCAAAGCAAGTAAGTAACTGTACGGAGTAGATAAGTAGATATAGATAGTAGGAAGTGAGAATCCCGCCCGTGGTGGCGCACCGCCCGCATAGAGCTGCCTCTTTCGGCGCTTATCCACTTTAGTCCAAAGTATTTAAATCGGATTGACGCCATCATCACCTGCATTTATTGATTGTACCACCACCTCGTGCTATTCCTTATTTCTCCTTGCACGAAGACTAGAACAGGTCATATCTTCTCATAATATCATATCGCTCACGTTCTAGTCTACACCGCTTTCAACTGGAACTTCAATTTTCGAAGCTTCACTTGGTTATTACCTCTGAGGTTTGAGCTGCAGGTAAGTACTACCATCAACAACTACTAGTATATAGCTATCTAACACCTGCATAGAAAACAAAGAGCAAAATGCCCATCGAAGTAACAGACCTCACCGAGGCAGATATCCCCGCCGCCATTGAGATCATTCAGACGGCGTTTGCGGAAGATCCGTATTTCAAGTGGGTGTTTGATGCTGAGAATGTAAGTTTTGTCAGTCACAGATAAACATACCCGAACGAGGTAGACTCTGAGCTTGTAGATGATGTGATGATCATGATGATCAAGATAAAGGCATCAAGCTAACCAACTCTCCAACATTCCCATCACCGCGGTCGGGTTGGGTAATCTCCCCCAACCGACCAGTATGGGAACTTCCTCTTCATTCTAAATGAAATAGTTCAACAAGCAGCGCAATCACGATTCCCTAGCGGTGCGATGTCGCTGGGGAATCAACAATGCCATCTTCCAAGTTGCGACAGACACATCAAAACCCCCAGGGAAAAAGATAGTCGGCGTCTCCTGCTGGCTCCCACCTACCCCCGCTCACACACCAGAGACATGGTACAGCTGGACACAAAACTGGCTTCTCAGCTTTCGCCAGACGCTCAACAACGTATGGCATTTCGGACGGGGCGGACTCCGCACGAACCGCTACTGGATTTGGAAGGAGCGGCAGCATGAAGCGCAAAGCCAGATCTGGGATGATCCCAAGGGATACTATTTCTGCAATATCGTGGCGGTGCACCCGGAATGTCAGGGTCTGGGGGTGGGGAGGAAGCTCTTTGAGGCGGTGACGGATCGGGCGGATCAGGAGGGAGTCAAGTGTTATTTGGAGAGTTCGAGGAATGTGCCTAATGTGCAGATTTATGAGAAGATGGGGTTCGAGATGAGGAGGGAGATGGAGTGTAGGGATGGGGAGGATGTTTGTATGGTGAGTTTGTTTCCTAATACTATCTGGAGGAGTAGGGGCTTTGTGGTGAAACGGGGTGTTGTATCAGATGGTTGGCTAACTTGGGACAGCTCTATTGTATGGTTCGTGAGCCAAAGACCAAGTCGGAACTGTGAGGGGCGTGGCGTTCGATTCTAGAACTGGATGGTTCGTTTGTTGTAGCAGGTTTGTTTGGGAGACAATCGGGGATGGAAATGGTCACACATTCAGGCTATTCAATGATTAGATATACCATTGGTCAGTTAATTGAAAGCACGGACATTCATTACTCCCGCCGATACAACATCCCTTTAAAACACCCAAATGCTTCCTACATCCAAATCCAAACATCTCAGATAGAAGCCCAGTCAGTAGTGTCCACTCAATACTTACCATGAACTCAACCCACGAAACCCGCACCCACATCCTCCACCAAATCAGCACCATAATCCCCTCCACCCTCCCTCCAGAACTCACCAACACAGACACCAACACAAGAACCAGCACAATCCGAATCCTCGGCGACATTCCCAACAGCATCCTCAACCCCACCGACTACCTCTCATCCATGTACCCCTTCATGTCGGAGACCTCCAAATCCCTACAACAACTGCGTCCCAACAACCAAACCCTCTTCATCGCCGCCAAAATCTGCCGCGGGAAGCACTCCTACTTTCTCCTCGACCTCAACAACACCAGCTATGACTATGACACCGCCCATGACTGCAAGACATTAATCCCCGTCTATGTGCTCCGTCTCTCGAAACGACAGCCAACTATCTTCCGAAAACAGGTGCTGGATGAACCCGTCGCGAAGATCCTGAGGAATATGCATAATCTTCATGGTCGGGATCGGTTGCCGTTGTTTGACAACCATTATGACCCGTATCTTCAATATCCTAACCCGCGCAGCCCGCATTATGAGATTTGACTTGTTTAGACTTTCTCTTGATGTAGGTGGAGAATCTCACTGCCATACCGAGTCTTTGCATTGATTTGAGGCACTTCAAAAAAGGGTAGGTGGAAATGGTGCCAACAACAGGTACTTCAGTAGTGGATGAAGGTATGGGAACTTTATTTGGCAGTCCCATTAAAGTAACATTGACACCTTAAGGCATAAATCCATATGCCTCGTGGGAGCCACGCACAACCATGGCACATCTAGCTAGCTCCTACATTGTAGCAGGTTCGTTTGAGCATATGGGTGGTGCGGCAGTATGAGACGAACATCAACACACCCAACACACGAACACATGTAAGATCTAGTCTGCTTAAGCCTAAACCTCGGATTAAACAGACATTTCTAGCTAACTAGCTAGCTAGATAGCTAGCTAGCTCTGAGTTAAGTAACTACGTAGGATATGGCTAGATTTTCAGCAGACTACAACATAAGAAAGAAAATACCGTTAATGAGTGGACCCCATCAACAGACCATTAAGATCAGAGCATGGATAGTACTGATTGATCACGAGTCTACCTACAGTCCAGTCCGTATTCGGGTTTCTGCAGAAAGCCCCTTATTTCAGTTTCTTTCTTTCCCCTTCTCGGCCAAGACCCGGGGAAAGGAATTGGATCCACGGGGATCCACTTTGCATGGAACGAAGAATGAGTGAATGAATGAATCCGTTCCGTTGCCAAGGAGAGTCTTTGTTTGATGTAGATATTATATTGTCTTTAATATTTATAGGGTGTATGTCTATTTATATTCATATAGTATTAATATTATCATTCATACCTAGTATATACTATATAGTAATGTACTGAAGCACAGACATACAGACATGGATAATAACTGGAGTGGGTTATCCGAGTCATTCCAATGATCCGCCGTTTCACAAACTACCGACTAGCCCGAGTCGATCATCCAGAGAGAAGAAACAAAGTAAATCACCTTGACTTACGACTAGTCAACTGCAGTAAAGTTTCTATGGAACCGCCTAGACCAATCCCTTTCCCCCCTCTATTAGGGGGTTGGTTCAACGTTCAACGTAGACAAGTTCGTTTCCAATCCGGTGTCTCGTCTTGATTGCCCGGTAGTTAGACTAGTAAACTAGTTAGGGTTGAATAATAATAAGCCGGGATGAAAATGCCGAACATACTACGGAGAAGTAGTGTACTTACTACCAACGCCTTTTTTTTCATCCTAGTTTCAGGAGAAAAAGTATCTTTTTTTCCCTGCCTTTTTTTTCCATCCAAGATTTTAGACTAGAGGTGCAAGCTACCCTTTTGTTGGTAATTTAGGGTGGGGATGGGGAGGGGAGTGATATATCAACTACCTTTTTTTCTTTTCCTTTTCTTCAATTCCTTTCCCCTTCCTTCATTTTGTTACATTGATTCAGTTTGATTCTGTGCACAGCTGGTCTGTGATGCCATTATATCTATTATTATACCTCTCTCGACATATTCCAATCCAGTCCAGCAATAATAATCAATAAATACCTAATCAACCAAACAAATGTCCCAATCTACGAGTCATGTCCTCCACCAAATCCACAACTACATCTCGCGCAGCGACTCAACACCACCAACAACAACATCATCAGACTTCACCGTCCAGGCGAAAGTAGGTCTAGCTTTCGGCATACTAGGTACGTCCATTCACCATCAATATACAAAATACCCTCTCCAACACACCCTAACAACGATAATAATCCTAACAATAATAACAGGAGCAATCCTCCTCACCATAATCCTCACCACCCTCATCGTCCTCCGTATCCAGCACGGACCCGTCATTACTCTCCGAACCCTGTTCTCTCGCAACCCGATCCCAAACATACAAAGACAGTCATTATCAATAGATATCCCCCCATCGGACGAGGAATCTCAACCGCCGCCGGCATACACAAACTCATTACCAGAGCAAGGATTGAAGAAAGATACCACTACAGATATTGCACCCCCACAACAAGCGCATATACCCCCCTCGCTGCGCAAGGAACTTAATCTGCATGTCGATACGTCACGTTCACCTACCACCACTACCACTACCACTGCTACTGCTATCGCGACGACGAAGCCGAAACCTACACCGCTGAGGACAATGTCCGATACAGAGATACTGAGATCATCAACATCAACATCATGTGAAAAGGATAGAGAAGCGCGATCGACGTTAAAGGTCCAGATTCACCACCATCATCATCATCACCATGGTAATCATAATCATAATCATCCGTATTATAGTCGGTTGAGGGTGGGGAGTCCGAGGTCGTCTGTTAGTAGCGGAGGTAATAAATCAGATAGGTTATGTCCGCCAGACGAGTATGCAGTCCCGCCGGATAGTCCTGTGATTGTGTTGCCGTCGCCGAGGGAGTTGCAGAAGTTTAGGATTAATGTTTATCGATGATGAGATTATACGATGTGTAGTATGGGATTGGGATTGGCATGTGACTTTGGGTATGTATATAGGTACTAGTATTTATGTATGGGTATGTTGGTAATGATAATGATGATGAGTGTTTGTTCTTTTTATTTATTTATTTATTTTTATTTTTTTTCTGGAGGGGTGGAATTGGACGGTGGTAGTGATGGTTAGGTTATATATTGAATATGTTCTGTAGATAAGTACAAGTCATTGATAGTAGTTATAATGCTTACGAGTATCGATACTAGTCATTTAATGGTCCTGTGAATGTTAGTAGAGCGCTAAATATATATATATAGTAACTACTAGTATGCATTCATCCTTCAATATGGCCAGCATTCTACAATCATATAACTCACTGACATGACACCATCTGTAACCGAACACTAAACCACAAGCCTGCCACTTATGAGACTAATAGCAGTAGTGAATAAAAGGTACATTGAATATACTACCCAGATTTGAAACGCCATTCACTATTTAACAAATAACAGTCACATCCAAAACAAACACGAGATTCACCAATAATCCCCTGATAACCCCAAAGGCTCCAGGAGAGTAGACCAAGGGATTAGTACTCACTATTTTGATCCGAAATAAGCATAATAAATAACGGCTTACTATGCTCTGTGTTGTGCTGGTTTGAAACAGTGTAACATTATGAGCAGCAGCGGCTATGCAGATCGATGACAATATGATATACTTAAGTTCTAGACTCGTGGTACGAATTTCCTAACGGCTGAATAGGACGGGGGAATAAATTGGTGCTGTGCCAATGGGGATTTGGGATGGGGTGGTTATTTGTTGTGAGGTTACACAGGGAGATATTGAGTTAGTTGGTAGTGTTAGATCATCCATGTATGTTATGTTCCATATAGTATTGCTAATTATTTCTTAAAACTTTGTATTAGTTTGTGGTGGGTTGGCTATAAGGTAGTATCAAATAACAGTAGTATTATATACACCCTGCCAAGTTGCATTCAATTTTGTCTAATTTATCCTGATATGAATTGACAAAGAAACGGGTGAACAACCTGACCTACCAAGCCCTTGCTATCCCTACAGCAGCTAGCTCTCACAGGCGGCATGTAGCTTCAAGTGACTCCCCTAGACCCGACACTATCCGACATGATTGACTGGTATGTCCTCAGACGGGAGATTCAGGACCATAATGGCTGTGACAGTGATAGTCTAATCCATGTTCGTGAAGCTTCTGTTCTTTCACCATGACAGCATGCACGTGGCGCCATGTGGGGATGCACTCTATAGCATCGTGCCGTCTGGTGCGTGAATACTATCATTTCCAGCTTTATAAATGGGAGTTGGTGCTTCGATTATCTTTCTCCTTCTTCCCCTTCTTCATGCGCAGTTGTGACTTTCCTGTCTCTATCGTTGAATCTGATCACTGACGCTCCTTTTTCTTAAGAGCTTCCTTCCGAAGTCAGCATGCTCATACTTATTCTCTTCCTCGCCCTAGTGGCCCAAGGTCTTACCATTCACCGCTCGACCACGGGCAACATCTGGCAGCCCAAAGTCGGTGCTCCATGGGACATTGTGCTCTCTACCAACATACTTCGTCCTGCTCCTGCCACTGAAATCTATGACATCGACATGTGGAGCAGCGAGCCCAGCACCATCGTCAACCTTCATAAGCAGAACCACAAAGTGATCTGCTACTTTTCTGCAGGTAGCTACGAGCTACACAAGAAAGACAGTGCCTCGTTTCCAGAAGAAGCTCTGGGCAATCCCCTTCACGACTGGCCTTCGGAAAGATGGTTGGATGTTCGCCATCCTCAAGTGCGCCGCATCATGGCAGCCCGATTGGATCGAGCACAGCGGCTGGGCTGTGATGGTGTTGATCCAGATAATGTCGATGGATATGGGAATGACAATGGTTTTGGGTTGACGAAGCAGGATTCCATTAACTATATCAATTGGTTGGCTGGAGAGGCGCATAGCCGGGGTCTGGCTATGGGACTGAAAAACGCGGGAGACGTTATTCCTCAGGTTCTTGCAAACGTGCAGTGGAGCGTCAATGAAGAGTGTGCGGATAGACACGAGTGTGATCTGTATGCCTCTTTTGCAAGGGCCGGGAAGCCTATCTTTCATATCGAATACCCGAAAGGTAGTGACAGAAATGACAATGAAGATGTCGATGGGGAGGAGAAGAGACGATACTGTGAATTCTCGAATTCGGGACTATTCTCAACCGTTCTGAAGAACATGATCCTGGATCGTTGGGTTCAACGGTGTAACTGATGCTGTTTGCATCCTCGGATGTATCGAATTGCTTTCTACACTAGCTGAGCTGGTTTGTATTTATGCTGTGTATTTGTCTCCTAGACCTGAGTTGTTTAGTAGATTGCCACAATGAATCTGAAGGTTTTGAGCGGAGACTTGCATAACTGACGTTCTGGTGTTCGTCTTTGGTAACATGTCATTCTGTTCTTTGTAAAGTAGGCCGCTTGTTGTGCTCATCTCGGAGAGGCACTGTAGCTCAATTGTAGTAACTTTCGGTACAAACACTGGGATACTCGTATCTGCTGTCACTAATCAAGCACCATTGTGCCCTGCAGACTGGCTAGCTTGTAGCCTGACATCCTGTGGTGCAATTGGCCCAGCAATTCCCGCTATAGGCGATGTCCGAACACTGTATATTGCTTAACAAGAATCACATGGCTCTCATATATTAGCTCAAAATGACTAATGCTTTCACGTGTCTGGAATTGGCAGCCGCTATTATCAAACGCCACCGTTGGCAGTGGTATGAGCTCTTATCTCGCGCACGGCCCTGCAGCTTAGTATGCCGGCCGCAAACTAGATAGGTCCAGAACATCTGCTGAACAGTAAGCGGGACTCAGAATGCGGCAGCCTACGGAGAGCTATATCACAGTAAAAGCAATCACCGCCACCAAAGTATTGATAGTAGTGCGTCGAATCAAGAGCTTTCCAATGTAACTGCTAGTCATTCGCCCTACTTCTGCCCTGCACTCGAGGCCTGCAGAGCATGATGTGGCTAGGGTCATAGCACCCCGCACTAACGAGCAGCAAGAGACCGTGCATGCGCGCATGTAGGTGTCATGTTGGAGCTAGCTGTCCCAAATGACCTGGCTACCGCGGCTAGTCTAGTCTATGCTAAACTGGCCCTCATAGTGCATATTGCTGCAGATGCGAACAGACGAGAGACTTAGGGTGACAGTAGGTTCTGCTTCAATGCTATCGCTGCGTAGCGTACTACTAGCGACTAGAAAGGGGCTCGGGCCTAACTTGCCAAGTCTGATGCTCAGACGTGCATTTCTACCTGCTGGCAGATGCAGCTCCCCCGCTCCCCAACTGATATGGGGCGATAGCAAGAGACTGGTTGCATGAGGAGCAAAGAAAGTACTGCTCGAGCACGATCCGGGTCTAAACGCATTAGACGCATGACAGGAATATGGACGAATTGTATTGAACGACGTCGCAGATCTGCGGGTGTCTCGTGTGGACTAGACCTGTGAACAAGATCTGCATTAGCTGTATTCCGCAGTAGGTATCATTATGCGAGGTAAGCTGATCCTCAATGAGATGCATTGTAATGATCACCTCAAAGACGTCCTTGCACACTTACTATGGTGGGACTTTCGAATCATAGTGGCCTAGCTCGTTAGTAAATCTTAGCTTCATTCTCGTTTTAGACGCTACCGATACCTCGTAGACTGGATAAGTCAGAGCTGATGTAGTAGACAGCAATCTCAGCAGTGCGCTTTCAGGCTATCTGCTAGTACTGAATCACCAACTTCGGGATAGCAACAACAGACGTAGAAGCAAGATAGCTTGAGCAATCGACAGTATACAGCTGAGCTGCATTCTAGATTGTGATACTGATGATGGAAGAGATGAACTGTTGTTGGAAGGGCGGTTACTGGACCGAATAGATTGCATGTGAAAGTAGAGAAGAGGAGGAGTAGCCGTGAAGTAGTTATTCATCCTCGATCAGGTGACGCCAGTACTTCAGGCACCATGTCGTGCTCTTCGACAACAACTGATCAATAGGTCAAGCCAACTATTAAGTAGCAACATAGTCTGTATATACTCTGCATCCGTGCTGTCTAAAATAAGAGAAGACCGACAACATATTTTTATGCTGGTCTGTGATGCTTAGTGCTGGATAAATAAACTTGATATTTTTGACTAGAAGTATAGACATCGCTACTTTTCATTATAACCGACACCATACAAGTACAAGCCCGAGAACGTCAAGATATTCTTGTCGTCTCATTGTGTTCCAGCTACTCTAGATCCACCGTCCAAATCACCGTTGGTCCGGATGAGTGTATACCCACCACGGCCAGCCTAGCCATTCTGCCCTTACCTTGACTGCTACTATAGCCGGCTGATTGACGCCAACGGTCGCAGATCCCCCGAAATAATCTATTTGCCGTTAAGCCACTATTCACCGTTTGTCACGCCAGGAAGCTTGACTTCGGTAATGCACGCGGCAGTCAGCCGTAGACAGGCACGGTCCATTAATGTCATCATTATACCTAGCATGGCCATTAAGGCGCATCGACATGCTCTATAAGCAACCGTCTCGTCACGAGAAATCGCAATCGGGCAAGCATGGAATCTTCCACGCATGTCATAGCCGCAGTCTTGGCCACGGACAAAAAGTGTATATGCCCATCATGTGTTTGCTGTAGCCAATATCTGTGTGCATGCCAAGTGTCTCCGAAGCCACTTACTGGTTAGTACCTTCGGTGTCCCGGGTAGATGGAAGGTCTTCCCTATCGGTCATGAGATAAAGCAATGGAGTTCCGAAGCCCCAGCAGGGGTATACTTCACGACGGCATAAAGCCGACATTAATTGCATTATCGACTGCCCATTAGTGTCAGAGATATCATCGAGTAAGACCAATGTGACAGGCACGAGGCTAAGAGCCGGAGATAGTCACTGGCGAATCAAGCTCAGCATAAAGTACCCTAATTTACCTACTCAGCTTAATATGTGCTAAATAGCAGCCATGAGGAAGTCCTGGCCAGTCAACCAACACCCAGCCCCGAGACGGCTCGATGATTTGTCGATAAATCAGGGGTCCAAATGGGGGCAACTGATGGAGAAGAATCCAGCAGGAGCAGCCGGTCCGACCCCTGGCCTGACCATTAGTTAGTTAGTGCAGAGATAAGCAGGCAGACAGGGAATTGGACAGTGCAGTGCTAGACTAACGGAACTACTAGAACGTTAGCAGAAGAACAGCTTCCCGCCTAGTTCAGGTAGTCTAACATATGTCCTATCCCGGCCGAAACTGGACCAGTAATGGTCAATAACACACCCTGCTGGCTCCACAGGTGATAGCTGAGAAGAAGCCAAAGCCCACCTGCAGAGGACCGAGTGTAGTGACCGAAGCACTTAGCAGGAAGCCCCGGAGGAGTCCGTAGGCTTGATAGCCGTTGCCAAGCGTGCTTGATTAAAGAGCCAAGACTCGAATCGGTCGGATAGATCGTGGCGATGCATGAAGATGACATGATTTTTGGCTCGGATTCGGCCCGGACTGCCCGTGCCTCGGAGCCTTGGTACAGAATGGAATGTGATCCGTGGCTGCGAATTGCAGAAGAGTCCGGAGTGGCTGGATGTTGAAGCCTAGGACGGGAGGAAAGGCAATTGATCTGCTTTGTTGCATCCTTTGATAGCAGTTCGTCGGTCCAAGGGGATTGGACGGGAGGTCAAGTGCTTCCGCTTACCAGGGCGAGAGATGCCAGGAGGCAATCAGTTCCTCGACTCACCTATGAAGTGGGGTGGATTGCTATGGCTGGTGGATTCACGCCCCTTCCACCAGCTCGGATGGTACTGTTTTTGGTTAGTGGCCTTGACCAACAAGAACTGTTCCTTTTGGTTGAGGGCTGGAGTGACGAAGACTACTACTACCTGATGAGAGTTGAAAGTGAAGCTCGGGTAATGAGAAGAAGGGTCTCGTCTCGGTGTGTGCCTTGAAATGATGTAACTGGAAGAAAGGCTGACGAGACAGGCGACAGCTGAACTAACGGGATGCAGCTAATAATGTTCTCATTATTACCAGTATTATTTCGATGCATTTTTAATGTTCTTATGCGCCTTACGTGGCTTAAGATCTAGGGCCACGGTCTATCAGCCGGGCCGTGCAAGGTCTTCTGGCCCTGGCCATCATTGCGCGCCTTCTACTGACATGACGAACGGGAAATGATAACGAGAAGAAGACGGCAAAATTATCCAGCAATCACCGCAGAACGATCAATGGGGTAAATGTGTGGCCGTATAAATTGCAATTACCCAAGCGAACCAACAGGCTTGTTGGGCAGTTGATTGAAGGTACTTTGAACGGTACTTTCCCCGGGAGCCGTTTAATTCCCCTCGAACGTCTTGGCTATTTATTTGGTAATAATGGACGTAATATTATTATTGCCATGCTACAACTTAGATCGTTATTTCTGGTCAATATTTCTTTTGCTTTCTACGACACTCTTCTCTCCTTCTCCCCCACTATATTCCCTCGCGGTGCGTTTCAGCTAGACACGATGGGAGCGCCGTGCCGACTGGGCCAAGCCTGTTCGGCAACCTAATCGACGAAGGGCAAAGATGACGGACAGACTCAAGAACGCATGTACACTCCCCGCACCCTCAATTGCCGTCGGATAATTTCTTGCCGATGGATCAAGGATGATTGGAGAACTGCATCAGCGACGCGTCCTTCGAAGGGAGATTCTTTTGCCGAGAGGTAGTAGCATCCACATCGGGTAGATACTGGTAGATAGACGGCTGGATGAGCAGGGCAACTCCCGTTAACATTAAAGTGCCGTGGCACGGCTCAGAAGTTAAAATAATATTACCGGCTCCCAGCTATAATAACAGACTTCCAGCCCGCCTTACTCACCCCCAGGACCTTCCGGCCATCTCTGAAGCAAACAATCAATTAACTAGGGGCCCAGTGCTGTATGAGGTCATACTTGCATGGGTGAACTACCGGATCTATTTGCCTGTCTCTAACCCCGATGCTTGCCCTACGTTGAATCTTCTCCGGTCTGGGAAAGTCAGGCCATGGTGGCCCTGATAGGCCTCCTACTCGTTCCGGTAATCAAGCCGCGGTCCAGCCCATTAATTTTTCGGAAGATAATCGATAGGTTCGGAACAGGCGTGGAGAGAAAATCGGAAGTTCGAGGGTGGTTCTGACACCGAAAGCCTGTTGAGAATTAGGCAATACAGCTGACTGGGTATCCTCCGCACTCGTCTCGAGATTCCTCCATCTTGGTGATGTGAGTGGTGGACGGACTACGGAGTTATGCCCGACTCCCTGTTTTGCGTCCTATGAAAGAGAGAGAATGAAGCATTCTAGGACGGGGGTGGAACAAAGAAGGGAAATGGAAAATGGGGGGAGGGAGACACAGAACAAAGGGGAAGGGAGGGGTTGGGGGAGAGGGGGGGAAGGAATGGGAAAGAAAGAAAATAGAAAAGATGGAAATCATAATAGAATTAAAAATTGAAATGATAAATAAAAGTGCGGAAAGGAAGTGAAAGTGGAGAGCGAGGGGAAAAAAATAAATAGAGAAATAAATATGTAAAAAGAAAAAAAAAAAGTTACCATGAAATTGCGAGATTCTAAGAACCAAAAGAGTCCAAAAAATAGGAAAGAAAAAGTAAGAAAACAAATCCTTCGTTAAGAAAATTGTTAGAAGGATGATCCCAGTCAAGCTGAAATAATGGTTGTTTAGGTCATAAAGCAGCAGGGATGGAAGCGATGTGATCGACAACCCTTCACAAACTGTTTGTTCGATCTTGTCACAACGTCTGAAAGTACTATGCTGCCACTTGGCTAGTCGTCGAGGCGTCCACGCCGAATCGTGATTAGTAGTAGCACGAAATTGTGCATCCGTTTTGATCCGTCCTGACCCTCCCAACTTGTTGTTCCTCACTGGGGTACATGCAAGGTACTAATCAACTCCCCTCCGTAGAGTCAAGGAGCAACACACGCTGGCTCTGGTCCCTGGTTTGGCTGAGGCCCTATGGGTGTTTGGTTGTTGCTCCGCAGTCTCCGTCCGAGCCGCTGGTTCCTCTCCTGTCTCGTCTTTGTAGCATGACTGTCTGGAAACATCGAACCGACTGTACTACTCCGTATACGGAGCCAGGCAGGAATAGTGGCCTGCGACCGCCTGCATGCCCTGCAGCAAATGCATCATCGGCCCGAGAGTAAGTTCTGTGTTGGTAAGGAATCCATGGGCACTAGCCCTTATAGGTGGGCTGAGGCAGAGAAAAGGGTTCCTTTAGCACTGCTCGGCGGACAATGATTCGTCGAGACACAATTTATTATCACCAGCTCATGACAAATTGCGGTAGCCGACCACAATAGTGGTTGGGACTGCGGGAATATCAATGGCTGCGGCCCAAAAATTCCCACCATCTCCACCCGAGACAATGTTGGTTTTTCTTTAGCAATCTGGCATCTGCACCATCTCATGCAATAATCTGATTAGCGCCAGTCGTGCGTGCCGGCAGATGTGTAACCACGGTCTGTCACGGATGCAGGCCGCTCGAGGACCACATTGGTCTGGAGATGGGATGTAACGACTAGCGTGGAGTTTGTCGTCATTGTTTCTCTGTCCACCCTCCCCTCATGTTGCCAGCGAGGTTCATCTTTTCTAAAACGATCGACTGCTGCTTGTTTGATGGGATGATGAAGCAGCCAGTCGAGAAATACATTCCAACCGGTTTTGCATAGCTCGTATTGGCGAGCGTGAGCTGCAAACGTCACAGAATCCGGGTGAGAACCTTGAATCCGGTGCAACCCCCCTCGCAACGCCTGCGGAGGTGGAGGAAAGGCAATAGCCTGGGGTGCTAAAGACCACCCGCCCGGCTAGAGGGCCACTGGAGCTCACCTTTCGGCCGGTCGCTGTCGAGGCGGAGGAGCACAGACGCCATCTGTCCCCCAGTAGGTGCAGGACGATACCTTCTTGGCAGGCAACGGGCTGCGTTGCAGGCCTCTGCGTCAGAGTCCATGGTGACTTGATAACTAGCTAGCTGTCTCTAGCGCCCCGGGTCGGACACCTTGCGAGCAGGATAGTCTGAACCCGCACAGGTCATGGCGGGTCTTGTGTAGCGTCTCGACGACTCTTCCGCTACTCTTACTTGTCCGTGGCTTCTGTATCCGGAGCAAATGGTTTCATCCGTTCTTTCAAAAGTTCCGAGCGAGAAGCACATGTGCAGAACATGTGATGCTCTCTGTGGTTTCTGTGCGAGTTCTAGGTCGGCGCCGTATCATCCCCTTCTGCAAATCCCGACGGCCACGACAGATGGGTACGTCGCCTTGCTCTTTCATTTTGCAGCAAAAAGAAATAAACAAGCTTCATTGTTGGAATCAAACAACACGATAAGTAATCAAAGGGTGGGCTGAAAAGAAGAAAACATAAAGTAAAGTATTGAGAAGAAAAAGCAATCTATCAAACCGGCCAGTCTTTTGGACTCCTCCAAGCGCCATGCATATAACGGTACCCAAATCCGCAGATCATAACCCGGGCTTGGCCTTTTGGGGCCCTTGATATCAGTAATGAGTAAGACAAGCAAGAAGTGAAAGTACAGAATCAACAATATGTGCACAGGAGAAGTGAAAACAGCATCAACACCACAAGACGGTGTCGTTTAGAAGTCATGATAAGCCAGAGTTAATATGAGAGACATGAAAAGCGTCGTAATGAAGGGTGTAGCGTCAGGTAGGCTCCGATATAATCCCCGGAGGTAATGAAGCCAAGATGCGCCTGCTTCAATTGGGAAGAGGACCGTCGCTCCAGGCCAAAACGGGAAGGTCGCACTGTCGTTGCCGCTCGCGATTGATCCAAAATTGATGCCATTCAATGTCGACTACAGAGCAAGCACTTTCCAACCACCACGATGAACCTGTCATGCGGACTGTCGTGAGCATTTGTTGTCTTTGGCTCCATCGACAGATGTCCGGATGAAATGTTGCGACGGTTCACGACAGGAACTGTAGATGTAGTAGTTCTTGAAGTAATTGCACATGTTCCTCGAATTTCAATTCCAACGGGTCAGGAAACGCAGTGCAATGATGCTGGATGCAGTCGATTGAGCTTCGATCAGATAGAGACGTTTTGCTGTATGCGGGGAGGCCAGAGGAGAGTTTCGGACTGGACGGGGATATGAAGCAGTGGAAGGATTTAGAATTTATCTGGAGCATTGACAAGACTCGTGCTTGACAGTTTCTCACAAATTTGTTGTCGACCTTTGTAAACTGACCTGGACTTGGAATAATATATCCCACTTCATGGTGGGCAGTAGTGTCTGTCTGTCATGCAAGCACCAGGGATAGGAATTTAAGGCCCATCACAAGCCCCGTTGCAGCAAGGTTAAACAGGGGGAACCAAAAAAAAAAAAAGAGAGAGCCAAATACATTTGATTTTCGAAATAAATTATTTTTTTCTCGTCTCCCCAATAAGAAAATAGGAAAAGATAAAAAATAAATGAAAAATAAAAAATGTCAAAGGTGTGCCCAACAAAGTCAATTTAGGTTCTCATCTATTTTTCCTCTTTTTGTTTTTCTTCCTAATCAATTTCAATCTTTAATTATAGACCCGCTCCACGAACCTCAGGGCCGTTGAAGCCGTCCGGAGCAAACCTTGAGTACCGTAAGTCCCTGTCCCGATGCGGGTCCAAATACATCGGAAGCGCATCAATCTCCTTTAAGGACAACAATGATGTCGCAACTACAAACTTTGAAGGAGCACCGGCGGATACCGTTCCACTGCGATGCAAAGCCCCATCTGCCGCGGATTGATCGGGTCAATGGGAGATCGACACGGTCCCTCGCAGCCGTTGATGCTTCACTTGCACGTGGCGCTAACTAGGATCTTCATGCATAGGCACTGGTGAGACTTTAGGAGAAACATAATTCTTTGCTTGGGCCTCAGCTAGAAATAGGGCCCGGCAAACACGAAGGGGCTGTGAAACTGTTCGGGATGCAAAAATTTAAGCCCGTGGTTCAAGAAGTCCCGGTCCAGGGAGTTGCTCCAATTGGCTAACAGAGATAGACTCTAGTCAATTCGGGATAGTCAGATAGATGCATTAGCCAATATCGGGTATGGGGAAAATCGTAAGTTAGTTCGTCAGAATAATGGATCATCATTGGACAATGCAAATATCATGGTGCCTGGCCCGTCCTGCTGCTTGGTATTGACTGACGTCTTTTGATCCCTTTCACTTTTACATCGATCAACCTGCAACTGTTTGTCCCCTTGTCAGCTCCATGCAATTAATAACTTTATCCACAAGGTAATTTGACAGCATGGTGCCACCACCAGCACTGTAGCTCAGACCAGCTGTCCGACTAAACTCGGCTACATGTGGCGGCAGTGCAGACCTAGCAACATAGCAGGAAGCCTGACAAGGGACGCACTCAGTCAGAGATACCACGCGCCAGCTTACAGGAAGTCCAACATCAACCAGTCAAGACCGATTGCAATTGGCGAGTAAGCCAGGATACCATCCATACAAAGGAAACGCAACCACCATAGTGCTGCATATAGGCCCAGCCACAGTAAGCTTTCACCTATGATTTTTTTCTACCCTTGCTCGATGGGTAATCAGAATGGCCATTGCACCGAACACACGCCGGGTTGCCGTTAATTATTGGTATCGTATGCGTAAGCTTCCGGGAGATCGGGGAGCAACGGTGCCAAGAACATAGTGGGATCCTTTTCACCTCGATTATTAGCGTGGGTGCTTCGCTGCCATTTGCTAGCAGGTAAGAATCAACAGGACTGTTATGGAAGGATCGGGTGTTCTCCGTAGGCACACAAGTAGGTACCAAGTGCCCACTCAGACGGTCCCATATGCAGAGAGTCTCGGCCCATTGCCAACCGGGTATGAACCTAATAGGGCGGTTAGCGGGAGACTGTTATCGGCAAAGAGGTGTGAGGTATTTTTCTCCTACTTTTTTTCTTTTCTTTTTTTTACTTTTTTCTCCCCTCATCTCCTTATTTCTTTCTATTCAGATCTACTATCTTCCCAGGGAAGTGTTAGTAAGTTTTTTGGGGGCAAGCAATCAGATTTCACTCACTAGACCAGGGTACAAGTGGCGAAAGAATCGACCATCCTGTCCTCGGCGATGTGATTCGATGTGAGTGCCTTACTTGACCGGGACAAAGCAAGGTGGTTTGCTTGCTTGCTTGCCGGGGGGAGGGGAGGGGGGAAGAGAAGACGGGATGGAACATGGATAGATTAACCCAGTGGGAAGACAAGTAAATAGTAACAAACAAGACCCATATGAAGGTAGAGCAGCGTCTTAGAAAGAACTATAGTATTAGTGAGACATCGCGAAGGCCGAAGGGGGCCACCGTAGTTGAGCACCTAAGGAAGTTGGTGAGCTTGATCCAAGCCCGAGATAGGATGGTGTGCGGGGCCAAAAGGAGTTCCCTGGTGGTTTGCGAGTCAGAACCACGGCGCATCGTTGACAGCCATTCCGGCTAGAGGTCCAAGCTCGGCATTTCCCGAGTTGGACTCGGAGGTTAGGCGGGGTACTCTTTATTTTCCTTCTCTCTTTTTATTTTCTTTTTTCAAAGATTACTACTGATACCTAAATAGTAGTATCTAATTTCATTCAATATTCTACTCGCTAATTCATCCACCTATAATCCCTGCTCTTCCTCATTTCCTCTCACTCACACCCTTGTCAATCAATACCGCGGAGGTGCCGGGATTGTTGCCTGCCACCCTTTTAACCCATACTTCGGCTGATTGAGAATAAGGCAGGATTTTTTTGAAGTCCCAGCGATCTTCCCGAGATTTTCACAGAAGGACCTATTAAGATCATCAAAGGGTCAACTCACTGAGAGTGAGCCACATGTACTACATGACTACATGTACCTAGTACCTACAGGCAAACTACTGCTACTGACTAATGCATCTAATGGGGAGCTACTTCCTACTTGAGTACTACTACTATCCCATACAACCCACTCACCACCTCATCGATCGTTTGACTTGCTGTACTCTATACCAGCTACAGAAGTACGAACGGAGGCCATAAAGGAAACGGGCAAACGCCGAAATTCCAGAGTACTTTAGTGCAGGCACTAAGGACTCTCCGTACCTAAATTTGTAGTAATCCTCCTAGCTATGTACGACTGGCCAACGCAGCCTAACTAGTAGTAACTAAGTAGTAGTTACTAACTACGGAATCGTTAGTCCGCATGGGCATAGATACTCCAGTCCCGGACTAGAGAGATAGCACTATCAACAACCTTCCCATTGCAGTTAGCGCGGCGTTCTACATAAAGTAAAACTGCATCTGGGGAGATGCGCTAATCCCAATCCAGTAACGGCTCTCTTTCCCCCCCAGTCGGATTCCCAATCGGGCACTAGTGCAACCCCGTGATCCTGCCTGCCTCATCCTGGCAGTTCAGCGCCCAGCGATCTTTTCCCTCCATCTGCCCCCCTCCTCATTGACCCAATCGCATCGTGGTCCTATCGCTTTCGATAGGCTCCTCGGCGATATACTACCGGTGCTGCTCATCCTCAGATCTTGTTCTGCTGTCGCTGCAACAGCCACGTCATTCCTGGTGATCGCCCTCCGGTAAAAGGAGGGGTCGTGCTCTTTGGCTCATCTGGAAACCCGCCCGTCGTTGTGGAGACCGGTTGGATCCGCCCATCTCGTGCAGGTTATCTGTCGACCCAAACAATCGGACATCACACAACTTGTCTCTTTTGATCTGTTGAGCTAGCTCTGCTATTCAAGATGGGCTTTGGCGATTTCGATTCGATATGCGAGAAGGCCCCTTTGCCGCTATGCTCCCTAGTGGGTCCACCATCTTCAATATCGGGCTCGACGGGCATCATACCAAATTGTTATGCGCGGAACATTGAGCTGGCCAATACAATCATCTTCGAAGGGGCTTCCTGCTTCCTCCACATCATCGCGCTGGGGATGACCGTGATTATGATACTGCACATCCGGTCCAAGTTCACTGCTGTTGGTAGGCTTCTTCACT